GTTAAATTCAAGCCCAAACATTTAAAGGTTGAAGTTAAATATCACTAAAAAAAAAAAGTCTATGACAAGGGTTATTTTCATCCGTAGCAAGGGTTCGGGCAACCCTTGAACGGACCCTTGGCAAAGCTGCCCCTGCTACGTGTAGCAAGGGTTATTAGCGACCCTTGGTGCAAGTCCACTGCAAGGGTTATAGCAAGGATTTAAACCCTTGCTACACGCATGTAAAAAATTCAAACAAGAGTTGCTCGTAACATGGGTTAGAACCCTTGGATAATTTGTTCCTACAGCTAACAAGGGTTTAAACCCTTGCTACACACCTATGTAAAATTGCTACGAGGATATGCTACTTGCAAGGGTTAAAACCCTTGCACAGTTTGTGACTAAAGCTAACAAACATTTTGTGTCAAAATCAAAACGGTCGCTAAAAATTCGTCACTGAATAGAGGCAACATGTCTAGTGACTAGAACTTGGTTGCAAATACCCTCGTCATTAAAAACAAATCCAGAACTAAGTTTGTTACTAAAATTCATAACATACCATATACTCTTCATATCCTCAATCATAACATAATATGATTCATTATCCAAAATGGTGTTCTTTACATGACTAAATATTAATCACCACGAACATTCAAACATAATCAAAGGGAAAATATTATGTTCATGATATTTTGAGTACTCAATAGAAATATAGAATCTAATTCAAAATAACATGAGTAGATCATTTTCAAAATGCTTAATACGACATATGATCACCAAGCTCGAGAACCCATTGATGGAGTAGGAGCACAAGTTACAACCTGTTCATAAATAAAAGACTTGTCAAGATTTGTGTATAAAAAAACTACTTAGCCATACAAGCCAACACTAATTCAAGCACACAGATGACAAGTCAAGAATACTGAATGAGACAGCAACTAACCTAAAGAACACTAATATGCTTTAAGAAACCAATTCTGCAAGTACAGTAAAAGCACTAATTTATGATTTAAAGCACCAAGTAGAAGCTCATTGTTTACAATTAATCCTCCCAAGCTCACAAGAGACTCGAGCTCATCTATTGCCTTGAGTTTCTTTTTTTCATTTATTAATATTTGATCCACAAAACATGCGAGGTTAACCCCATCATAACTTTCTCCCAAGAAACTTAACATCATAGCTACAAATTCAGAAAAAATAAAAAACTAGGACATTGAAAATTGCTTACAACTACACAATATTGATAGAGACAAGATGTGCTTTAGAGGGCATGACTAATACATACCTGATAGTAAGAAAGAAACTCAAAATCTTATTCAATGCACTTATAATCAATGGCCTCAGAGCTTGGTAGTTTTAGAGCCAGCTTCTGCATTAGCCAATATTGGTAATTATAATCGATATGGTCAAGAAACATGTCAGGAGCACGACTAGCGAATTACATACTCTTCTGGATCGAATGTTTTTTTAGAGCAGAATCAAGCTCTTGTGGGAGTACCCACAAGCTAACATCGAGATACTTGATCAGGTTATTACCTTTTAACCAGAGTTGTTGGAAGCTTGATCTGGTGTTGTTGTTATCAATGCAGGGACTAGTAACTTGGACTGTCATTTCATCTCTGCTCCCCTGCAAATTTTGATTTACATAATAATTGGAACTCTTGCTAATTAGTAATAATGGTGATTGATTATAGAACATGAGTTGGTATTTCTTTACCTGTGTGTCAAGCTCAGTAGCTACAGTAACCAAAGTTATACCCTTAATGTCTCCTTTCATTGCTTGTGAAGCGTCAGTAACATATGATCCACCCAAGAAAGATGCCTAGCATATAGACAATATCTCCATAACATCATAACAACATTCGTTTACACAACCTGCCAACATTAAAAGCCTCGGGAAAAGAGGAAAGAGTCGGGCAATAACAAGATCGCTTATTTCCTTTTCTATGATATCTGCAACCCCGTCATCCAAATGAACACCGAAACTAGGTTCTTAGTCTCTAAAAGGAAAATCATATATGAATAAGTTTGTATTCAAATATCATAATCTAATGATATACTTACTGAGATACAAACCAGGTTTGTCAGACCACCCTGATTCCATGCTCGTAATACTGAGTCGATGGCTACTACGATGGCCGGTATTTACCCTACCGGCTGCCTCCCTCCCGAGATCCTTCTAAGAGCCTAGCTGAGGAATCACCTCTTGTAGCTACTAGATACTCCTGCTTTACAGCTCACACAAAGCCATAGTTGGTCCCGGAAATAGGAAACGAGAAAACAGGGGAGCCAAAGGAAGACATGAAGTAAAGGATAAAAGCATAGATAAAAGTACCTATATTATCTGCAAACCCTTCTTCATGTTGAGACCATGTATGTCCTAGTTGAAAGTTGAAACCCTACTCGAACATATCAGATTCAGTAACGATTCTCAAATTTCTTAAATTCCTTGAACTTGACACCATCTGCAGTAATGAAAACAACAGCAGGAAGAGAAATTCATAACATTATAATAACACCAAAATTACTCTGATGTTCTTAACTAATCAACAGAAGAGAATTTCTCTGAGTTTAATTTTCTATAAATCCACGTATTAAGATCTCAAGCCACAACAACATGAAATCAAAACTCATAAAGCAACTTAACACTATACTACTAATCTCATCTTCTATATTCTATAATGTCTTCACTCTTGCTTTTGTTTTCCGTGTTCTTAGTCTTACGTACTCTTACTTAACAAATAAACAAAACCAGTAAGGATGCAATTCTCAACCCCATTCATTCTCGCCCTTCCTTCCTGCAAATATCTCTCTTTCTTCGCCATTTCAGTTTCTCACTCACTCAGTCCCCACCCCGCAAAAGTAAACCATTCCACTGGACACAAAGCAGAAATTGAAGCAGTGTTGCTATCCATTCCTATGTCTCCTCCTCCTCCACCACCACCTTCACTCTCCTTCCTTCCTCTTCTAGCCGTCAACATTCCTCCTCCACTCAACACCGTCGCCGCAAATTAATCACAATCACATCCCTCCTCTTCGCCATTCGAAAACCTCACTATTGCATGCTGCCTACAACAGCGATCACACTACAAACCCTAAGAAACCTAATCGGATCTCACTCGCGCAAGAAAGAGAGAGCGCAAGCGAGGGGAGGAGAGAGAGAGAGAGAGAGAGAGAGCGAGTGAGTAGAGAAAATCAGAGTATCACCTTTCAGCCGGAGTGAGCGAGGAAGACCGGGAATCATCTCTTTCGCCAAAGTGCGAGAGGGAGACCGGGGAATCGCCTCTTCAGCCGGAGTGAGCGATGAAGACTGGGGGAATCACCTCTTCAGCCGGAGTGCACGAAGAAGACAGGGGAATCGCCTCTTCAGCCGGAGTGTGCGAGGAAGACCGGGGAATCGCCTCTTCAACTGAATCGAGTGAGGGAGACTGGAATCTCCTTTCAGGCGGAGCTATTGAGGAGGGAGATCGGAATCTCCTTGGTTGTTTTTTGGATCCCTTTCAACCTATTTGTTTTGTATATTTTGCAGTCTGAAATGAAAAATTAGCCTAGGATAAATTAGTACTTAGTCAGTTAGTTGGGCCTTAAGAACATACAGTATATTGAATAATAAACCAGAGAGTTCCGAAAAGGAAAGACTACGCAATTAAATTTAGTTAAGGCTAGCAAAGGTTTAACCCTTGAAACAAACCCTTGATACAATCAATTCTAAAAATTCTAGCAGCGATTCCAAAACCCTTCCTATCAAATCCTTGGCATAGGTGAGTTTCCTTGTAGTGTATATTTGTATTTTAATATGAAAATTTGTCTTATTAGTTGTAATGTTATATTGTATTTAAATATGAATGTGTCTTGTGGGACATTATTTTGAAATATGTTATATATATTTGCTTAAGACAGATTACTAATTTTACTTGTTATACTTAGCTTGTACTACTGCTACCTTGCAACACTGGATTTTGACAACAACTGTGTGAACTCTGCATTCCTTGAGCTGTAAGTTTGTATTTCTCCCATAATCTGCTCCAAAAGGACATCCTGACTTCTCATGATCTTCTGAAAGACTCTCACACATCTTTCCTTCCAAATGCTTGAGATAAACCAACTCCATATAAACCCTATCATCAAGCCATCGTCATTGTTTTGTTCAGCAATAGAGCTTACCAAGTCTAACATACCACTCCACTCTTCATGCCGACATTAAAGAGCACATCACAGTCTTTGGATAAGAGCACTTGCAGAATAAATGCTCTTTGTTTTCAGGTTCAGCATTGCATAGCAAGCATTTGTCATCATTAACGATTTCCCAAGCCTTCCACTTCACTTTAATGGTAATTTAGTTCCTGATTACTAACCATGCATGTTATCAATTTGTGTCTAGGAATCAAGTACTTCCCCCACAACATCCTTCACCATGTGACTCTTTCAGCTCTTGGCCTGATAGATTTTCACACAGTTTTGACCGAGTATTTTGACACCATTTTACCATCCCAGCTAAGCAATTCATCATCTTCTGGCATGAGCCTAAACTAAACTAGGATCTTACTCTGAAGAGTTTCCTCCAGAGTCAAGATTATGTTTGTGTCTCTGCTAGCTCCCATATCGATCTTCCTTTCAAACATTTTTCATATTTTTTTTGTTAATATTGACACGCATCGGTTATATCTCATATGACCACTTGTTGAACCGAGTATAAATCAGTTTAACAACCTTGGTGATACAAGACAATTTAATTGTCTTATGTTACTAAAAGAGTTATTCAAATTACCTATCGTACCCCGGACAATTGAAAATGCCTCAAACCAAATTAATTCGAAAATCTCCAAATCAAAATACTCCATCCAAATTTTTTGTGTCAAACCAGTAAATTTCTTCCAATTATCTCCGAATCAAACAATTAAATTAAATTGATCGTTAAAATTACTCGCCAAACCAGCCCTTTCATTTGAGTTGAGTGACCTTATTTTGTTTTTAGCCCGTGACGCATATACTACAAACTACAAAGAATTAGAAAAACTTATCACAATCTTCACCTCACCTCTTCGGACTTGCTTCTCCTCCCTCTATTCTCACTCTGGCTGGAGAGAAAATCAACACAGGAAAAGGGGAAAACCTCACCACCACAGAATTGAGAAGAGAACCTCCGGGGAAAAGGGTGTCTGGATTCACCTCCTGTCCCTTCATTTTCCTCTCTCCGAGGATTTTACATGGTGCGGATTCTTCCCATGGCCGCCTCAATCCGTCCGTCCCTCTCTTCCTCTTTCATACTCTGCAACAAAACCGCCACTTCTCGCTCCACCGCCGCCGTTTCTCTTAATTCCTTCGCCTCCCCTTCGTCCCTGCGATTGCCTTCCCTCTCCAGCGGTAATCCCGCTCTCCACCACTTTCGGATTCCCGTGCCCGTCGGGCGGTGGTTCTGAAAGATTCCTTCTTTTTTTTCCTGATTCCTTTGCTGCAGTGGTTTTGGTATTCTTGTCTCATTACAACTCTGTGTTCATTCCGTCGTTTCAGATTCGGTTTTAATTATAAAGATGTTTCATTATCGGAACTGGGTTGTATGCATTCGGATATTAGGGAATTTTGTGTAAGATTGATTAGCTGGAAAGGTTTCCATATGATGGCTTTTTATGATCTTGAAGTTAGAATTGGGGTTCTGTTTAGTGGGTGATGAAATTATAATGCTGAATTTGATAATTGAGTCAGATTCCATGATTATAAGTTCGTTCCTTATTCAACCTGGAGTCATGTATGTTGACTTCTGGGCAATGTAATGGGCAGACGTATTACAGGACACATAATGAATTCCATCTAGGCAGTATACTACTTTACGATTCCAATTTTCTCATATTGTCGCAAAAGTGGCATGTCAAGTTGAATGCTGCAGTCTTAGTTAATCTGTAACTTCATTTTGTTATATTGGCTTCTGTAATTTATTCTATAATAGCATGGCACAGGTTCAAAAACTTATAAATTTTGATTCGTGATGCAGCTATTCGACAGTCGGAGCTATTTGGCTTGGAACCCTCTAAACCATGGAGACAAGGATGCACCAGCCTCAGGGTTGCTGCAGCTGGAAATATGGCACAAGCTAGCACAACTACAACCCCAGAAAATGCACTCGAGTGGGTCAAGCAGGATAAACGTCGAATGTTACATGTTGTTTATCGTGTTGGGGATTTGGACAGAACCATAAAGTATATTTTGGAAACTTGATTTCCTTTAAAGATCATATTTAGGCTCTGTATTTCACAAAAAAATCATGATGTCTGGTTTCGTGTCAAAACGAACTATTTACTCTCTGCAGATTCTACACGGAGTGTTTGGGGATGAAGCTGCTGAGAAAGCGGGACATACCAGAGGAGAGATACACAAATGCCTTTCTTGGATATGGACCTGAAGATTCCCAATTTGTCATAGAGCTTACATACAGTAAGCTGTGTTACTGCTCAAACGCATTTAACCTCTAAGATCCTGAATAATTGCTGTTGTAGAAACCTATAATGGATCTTCATGTTGGTTTATGTTATCAGATTACGGCATTGACAAGTATGACATTGGGACTGGATTTGGACATTTTGGCATTGCAGTCGAGGATGTAAGCTTCAATTAGGTTCTGAAATGCTTTAAATTCAGCTCATTACTTCAAATTTCTATGCCCCAAGATTATGATTCGCCGTTTCTTTGATAAGTTTGGGCCTTTTTTATGGCTGGATGCTCATGTATATCGTGCTTTGGATAGGTTACCAAGACTGTGGAACTCATAAAGGCTAAGGGTGGCAAAGTAACTAGGGAGCCTGGTCCTGTTAAAGGAGGCAGTACAGTGATTGCATTTATTGAAGATCCCGATGGCTATAAGTTTGAACTCTTGGAAAGAGGGCCTACACCAGAGCCTCTTTGTCAGGTGATGCTTCGCGTTGGTGATCTAGATCGATCCATTAATTTCTATGAGAAGGTGAGAATTACCTTGCTGGACCATTCCTTCCTTTGCTTTACTCTTATACTTTTGAGTCACGTTGTATCATATCATTTCATTAGTTCTAGTTAGTCATGTGACTTAAAAATTGATATTATCCTTTGAGTACAGGCTTTTGGTATGGAGCTTCTCCGCAAACGTGATAATGCAGAATACAAGGTAAATTTGGGCAGTTAACTGAATGTGCTGGATTCTGTACGTTTATTAAATAGCATTCTAACTCGGTACATGACGGATAAAGCCTGAGTTGTCAGGATGTATGCATATCCACCCCTCCCAACCCTAGCTCCACAAAGTTGAGGAATCCAGCAAGATAAAGCTTTCGTCCTGACTGACCTTTTTATGTTAGGAATCCAGCAAAATAAATCTTTGTATTCAGCAAGTATATGACGAGACAGGGTACTTGTCACATCATAGCTGTCTGCAATAGGCTCGAAGTTCTTTTTGTGATTATCATGGTAAAGAACTTCAATCATTGAGGAGAAATTGATGGGTGACTTTATTGTGCCAAGCAGAGTGCTTTTTGTTTCTAAAGCAAATGGGATCTGACCATCTTAATATTATTAGAGGATGACTAGTGTGCCCATTTTGACTATATTCAGAATTATTGACGTCGAAGAAGAACTATCGTTATCTATGCTTGGTGGCACATTGTAGCTCATGATCCTCTTACTTACCTGTAGTTCTTATGCTGAAAATATTCTGCTTTTTGTGTGTACTTTAGTATGTAAATGTGCATTTCGTCTAGAATGTAGATGTCTTCCAATAGAGTGCTTCAAAGGTTTCCAATTTAAGGACCTATTGCCTAATCAGTAGCTTTTGGTAATGTGCCAGACCGTGGAACCGTGATGATGTATTTGTGCAGACAATACTCCTAGACATCGTAAATATATCCTCTAAAAACATCTTACGAGCTGGTTTTGTCTTATATTGCTGTTATCAGTATACTATCGCAATGATGGGTTACGGGCCTGAAGATAAAAGTACAGTGCTAGAGTTGACGTATAATTATGGAGTCACTGAATATGAGAAGGGAAATGCTTATGGTCAGGTAACATCTTCACTATTCTATGTTTTAACAAGCCTGTCAAGAGAACAACTTGGTTTGGATAGTAACTCTTGTAATTGGGAAACTGGGAGCTGATCCCCTTCTACTGTAACAGATTGCCATAGGCACAGATGATGTTTATAAGACTGCAGAAGCAGTTAAACTCTTTGGCGGGAAGATAACTCGGGAACCAGGACCTTTGCCTGGTATCAATACCAAGATCACTGCCTGCTTGGATCCTGATGGTTGGAAGACGGTATGCTCTCATTATCTCCTTCCACCTGAACCTTGATCTGCTAGACTTAAGAACCGGTTGTGGTAAGTTAACCACCAAACTAAACTAGAGGGTGTAATCAGCAAAAGAGAACAGTAAAGATGACGTTATAGGATGATTTGAAACTTCACTGTGCTCTTGAAACCCAGCCCTTGTTCTAAGCCTCTGATTTCTTCTGGTTCCTTATCTGCAGGTGTTTGTGGATAATACTGATTTCATCAAGGAATTGGAGTGAGCTTTGGATGCACACCAATGTATCTGATTCATCAACCCCGGGTCAGAGGACCGTGTGCCACTAGACGAATGTTGGGTTGCCAGTGACAGAACATTGAGATGAAAGGACCCCAAAAACGCCCATTTTGTAGATAAGGTAAGGTAGTTCCATTAAGACAGCGGTAGCAATAAAAGCCTGGCTATAGATAGATTCTTTAGCAGCAGCAGCAGCAGCAAGCAAAGGGAGTCGAGAATCGTCCGTTTTGGCTTTTCATTCCAGTATATGGTTTGAGTACAAGGAAGATTTGTTGAGAAGTTCGTTATATACCTCTCCTCTTTTCTGTATTGTCAAATTCCATTCTGAAGCCCTGTTGCTTGTTCTACTAACCAGGATATGATAAAGTTACATTGCTAGCCTCCAGAAATGTACATTGCCAAACGCATCATGAGATTATTCGGATGGCGTACGAAGTAGTTGGTGCTCTCTTTCGGTCTTTCTGTACCCCGTATTTCGCTATGGTTCTCGTTTCATGACATTGTGCCCAAATGCCTCGTTACAAAAACGAGCCATTGGTTGCAAAAGGCTGATCTGTCATTTTGTCTCCAAGCCAAAATATGGCGCGATCAAGTTTATGGTTGACTGCCTAATCAGTTTGCTTAAGAAATTAGACACTCTTTTTCCATACGAAGAAAGGATTTTGTGATCAGAATGAGATGATTTCAGATATACAAGATCAATGCCAATCTGCTTACTTAAAATCTTGGACCACTGCCCAAATGCTGTGTTGCAGTGTTGGCCTTCTAACAACCTTTGAACCTACAGATAGGTCTGGGTTCGAGCACTGGTGTAATTCTCTCTGTTACTTATAATGTTCCATTGCGAATGTAATGCGTTACTTGATCATAAATTAAATTGGTTTTGTTTGTTGGCAAACTGACCGATCGTCTATCTTGATTCCTGATAAGCAAAATGGTAACTAAAGCTGGATGAATTAGCCTCCTTTCTGTTTATTGTGACGAGTCCGTATGTTTGGTAACCATTGTTCTATATGACAATCCACTCTGGTCACAAAAAAGGGGAAATCTGCGTACATTGGTTACAAAATGGTAACTAAAGCTGGATGAATTAGCCGCCTTTCAGTTTATCTTCACGAGTCACTTACGTTGGTAACAATTGTTTCATGTCTTTGATGACAAACTGTTGTAGTCACCAAAACCGATATCTGCCTACATCTCCAACTTTAAGATTAAAATAAAATTTGGTTGGCAGATAGAGCAGGCAGTCACTAATAACTTCTGGTCGGGAAAGAGTATGAGACCAATATCTGACTTGGTAGGTTGTAGCTAATTTTTCTGGTCGGCAAAGTGACAGGCTTGGAGGGAGGTCTTTCATATCTTTCGAGATCCACCCTACAATATGGGGTCAAAAAGCCAAAATAAATGATTTTATTAGCCCCTAGAAAAAGAAAACGGATTCTTGAGAACCCCTTGCACGCTCCTGTCACGTCGAGGTACTGCAGAAGAAAAAACTGCAAAATCCGATCCAATTTATCGTAATCGATTAGTTAACATGCTGGTTAACCGTATTCTGAAACACGGAAAAAAATCATTGGCTTATCAAATTATCTATCGGGCCGTGAAAAAGATTCAACAAAAGACAGAAACAAATCCACGATCTGTTTTACGTCAAGCAATACGTGGAGTAACTCCCGATATAGCAGTAAAAGCAGTGGTGGATGGAAAACAAACAATATACCACCTTCACCAATGGTATTATATCCTAGTTTAATGGAAGACGGTATAATATTAAAAAAATACAATTGAATCAAAACCTATGATATTCTCTCTTTTTCTCTTGTATGAAAACTAAAAAAAACTAAATAATATTTTTGGGTATAGATGAATTATATTTCTAAAATTTACTCTATATGATTAGAAAATTTGTAACAGTGGAAAAATCGCTTCTAAGTATGCCATAATACTAGGGATGACAATCAAACCCAAGACTTCGGGTACCACACCACTCTCGACCCAATCAACGTGGGAAATTTTCGCATTGATTGTGTATGGTTAAAAATCGCAAAATGTTTGATGGATATGGACAGTGACGGACCCATGACTTTTAACTAGTGTGTGTGCCGATAATAATAAAATAATAAATAAATAATGGGTCCGTATGGGCGGGTATGACTTTAGCTTCCCCGCCCCATACCTATATCCATCTCGTCAAAGAATATTTCTTCACATATAAAAAATAATGGATCATTTTGTAACCTGATCAATATATGACAGTGAGAGTAACTCAAGAAAATAGTATAAATGTAACTGAGAAGTCACCCAAATTAAAACCTAATTTCATTCCCTCAATTCCTCCCTACACTCTTTCACTTTTTCCTCATTTTAACAAGATTATATTAGCTAATTGTTACTAGGGGTGGCTATACGGTCCGGTCCGGTTAAATTGGCCCAAATTGATCTAGTCCAGTCCGGTTTTTTTGAAAATATAAGGACCGAAGATTGGATTGGATACAGTCCGGTCTTGATCCGGTCCGTCTTGACCCGGTCCGGTCCCAATTCGGTCTTGATTTTATATTGAGATTGTGGGAATTTGAGTGGCCTAAGGCCTAAATGGGTGAGGAGTTGGTTAAGTTTTGTACTAAGTGCAAAGGTTTGTGACCGTTTATGCAAATTACCCTTAAGTTTTGGGTGTTGAGCTCTCTTATCCGGTTTTTTACCTCAAATCTAAGCCCAAAGATTGGATTGGACTGTTTACTATCCGGTCCCGGTCCGGTCTCGGTCCGGGTTATACGGTTCGGTTTCCGGTTTTTCATCCGGTCCCGGTCCAAATAGCCAGCCCTAATTATTACGTAGTAGATGTATCAGATGTTTTAAGCCATATTAAGAAAGATCATATATTGGTTGACTTTGTGATGTTACAGTTAAATTTTTAAATTTTTATTTGTAAAATTTTAAATATAATAATATTGGATGTATTTAGTGGATAATACTCATGGATACCCGAAAACCACGAGTATGTGAATGAAGTTGCAATAAATTTTCTGCACTAATATAAAACTGATATGCATTTGAATATTTGAAAATAAAAACGAGAATGGTTTGGACAAACCTGTTCCAAACCCGCCCCATGGGCATTCATGCTTAATACGTTCAGCCGTTCAGGGATTCTGTCGACGGTGAGATATCCGGTGAAAGCATACATAATTATTATTGTCCACCACCTCACACGTAAATGACTGTCACACGCCACCAAGTAGGACAAAAAAAAAAAAAAAAAGGAAATTACCAGTAGTAAATAATTTATTTACCATCATAAAAAACGAAACCTCACTCTCTCTTTCTTTGGTATACTGTAGTACTGTACTACACTACGCTCCCTCTCCTATAAATAAAGCAAAACCCACTCTTCACTCTCCGACCACATAACAAAATCAAACAAGAACAATGAAACCACCACCCTCGCCGCCGCCACGTCTTCTCCTCCTCCTCCTCCTCCTCCTTACCACAGTATTCTCCCAACCCGAACCCCGGGACGACTTAAGACTCCCCACCAACGAGTGGAAGGGGGAATGGGAGCTGTTCACGGACAACTCCGGCGTGTCGGCGATGCACGCGATCGTGATCCCCAACGTGAACAAGGTTTTGATGTACGACGCCACCATATGGCGGATTTCAAGGATCGAGTTGCCCAAAGGACGGTGCCGGGTTCTGAACGCCACCACCGGCGAGGAGGATTGCTTTGCTCACTCCGTTTTGATGGACATCGACACCGCTCACCTGACTCCCCTCCAGGTACGCTAGTACGACGTCGTGTCGGTGATTTAATCATCTACGTCACTTGCTGCCCCATCTACCGCTGTCTATTTATTTCTTTATTTCCATTCCCATCTACCATGGTACGTCGGTCCCTATACTATTTCTGACAACATTTACGTCATTTTGCATGGAGACCTAAACACTCGATTTATTACACCAACTAGTTATTGACATGAGTCTATATAAGTGTTTTGCGCAATAATGGAGTTTTTGTTCAAATCTTGGTGATTCAATTTGTTAAATATATGGTATTTAGATATGTGCTAATTTCATGCTCACATATTGTGGTTTTTGTTTGAGTGTGTTAATAAGTGATATATGATTCATAATTAAACATTTGTCAAAAACTCGAGTTGTTGGAGCCAACTAGCTCTTAACATGGTATATTAAAATTCTTGATAACCAAAAAAATCTTGTATTGAAATCCCGATAACCCGAGTTATTATATACATGATATTCAAACATATATATATATACTTCAAAATTATATGAGTGTGACTTTCATTTATTGATAATCAAACAATACATGAGCACTCTTTCCCTTTTGGCAGCTTCACACGGACACGTGGTGCTCATCGGGAGGCCTAACATTTCACGGGAACCTGATCAGCACCGGCGGGTTCCAAGGCGGCGCCAACACGGTCCGGTACCTCAAAATCTACAACACCTCCACGTGGCGCGAATTCCCCAGCGCTTTATCCTCCCCGCGCTGGTACTCAACCCAGGCCCAGCTCGCCGACGGCCGAATCATCGTCATCGGCGGCCGATCCACCCCAACCTACGAGTACATCCCTCCGGAAGGCAAGTCCAACGCCAAGCCCTTCTTCTTCGACTTCCTCCAGCAGACGACGGATCCAGAAGAGAACAACCTCTATCCTTTTGTCTTCCTCTCCCCCGATAGCAACGTCTTCGTCTTTGCCAACAACAGGTTTGTTACGAGAGTGAAACGATAGAATTTTTATTCGGGTTTGGGTTTCTGTACAAAATTCCGGCCTACAAAACAATACAAAATCCCGATCATATCATCTTATTATGATATGATTGGTGATACCATGATATAATGTCGTCATATCATCGTATTTATATAAAAAAAATACCATTGTATCATCATGTCGTGATATGATGATAAACCGAATTTTGCAGGTCCAAATTTTGTACCAGTACCACTCTTTTATTTCCGCAAAGTAAATTTTCACAGTATTCGAATTACAATATTTTTATATAAGTTTTGTACTACTAAATTACAATGTAATGCCTAAAATAAACAAAAATTACATTTTAGTCCTAACTATACTCTATTATGCTAACAACGTACAGGTCGGTGCTCCTCAACCCGGACACCAACACGGTGGTGAAGGAGTTCCCCGTGCTCCCCGGCGGCCACCGTAACTACCCGGCCAGCGGGATGGCGGTGCTGCTCCCGCTGGAGGTGTTGTCGCCGGAGGCCGATGCTGTCGTGGAGGCTGAGGTGCTTGTTTGCGGTGGTTCCGCTCATATCGACTCGTACACACTGGGTTTGAAGAATGTGTTCTACGAGGCGCTTCGGGATTGTGGCAGGTTGCAGATTACCAAGCCGAGGCCGAGTTGGCGTCGGGAGGTCATGCCAAGTGCTAGGGTCATGGGTGATATGGTAATTTCTCAACATTCACCTCTTATTTCTGTGTTTTTTTCCTGACTTGAAGTCAGATTATTTGTGTTCGACTAAAAGCTACGAGTTTGTCACGAGAGAAGTGGTATATTTACCTTCTATTAGTGGCGGAGCCGCTTGCAGTAGCTTGGCTTTTGAGATCCATCTTGGCTCTAGATTAAAATACCATAAAGTAATAATATTTGTAGACAATTCATAATATTAATTTATAATACAGAATTCCAGTGTTTTATGGTCACGATTTTAATAAATTGTAGAGAGTTCTGTACGCACATTAAAGTTGCGTATATCATTTTAATAACTCTAGATTTTTCATAGAAAAATGTCTCTCATTTTGTATTATGAGTTTACAAATTCATAATTTTATATCAAATTCTCCACCCTCAAATGAAATTCTGTTAGCCAACTATGAAGAATGAGTTATTAAAATTTATTTTGGATATTTTCATTTTAAAAGCGGACTCACCTTAAGTAAAACCATGGTGATACCACTGCCTTGTGTCTTTCACAATGATTGAAAACTGTATTTTCTCATATATAGTGAAACTGATCTCTTCTACTTGTGGATAAACTAACACACGTCGTATTATATACTAATAGATCACGTTTCAAACAGGTAATCCTGCCGACCGGAGAAGTTCTGATGATAAACGGGGCAACAAGAGGCGCCTCCGGCTGGGGAAACGCCCGGGAACCCAACCTCAAACCACTCCTCTTCAACCACAAGGCGCCCAACAAGCACCACCTCTTCAAAGAACTCAAACCAACCACCATCCCGAGAATGTACCACTCCACCGCCGTCGTCCTCCCCGACAACCGCGTCCTCGTCGCCGGCAGCAACACCAACAACGGCTACATCTACCACAACACCACGTTCCCCACCGAGCTCCGCGTCGAGAAGTTCTCCCCTCCTTACTTCTCCCCTTCCCGGGCCCACAAGAAGCCCAACATCATCAACGGCGGCTGCCCCAAAACGGTGTCGTACGGCCAGGACCTCACCGTCAAAGTCAACCTGAACGTAAAGAGGATCTTCCTGACCAACTTCATGGTCACCATGTACGTGCCGGCGTTTACCACTCACGGCGTGGCGATGAACCAGAGGCTGGTGAAGTTGTTGTTGAAGGACGCCGTGAAAGTCGGGGAAGGGAGGTATGACGTGTCGTGCGTGGCGCCGCCGAACAGTGCGGTGGCGCCGGAGGGTTACTTCATGCTTAGCGTCGTCCACCGTCGGATCCCCAGTGAAGCCGTTTGGGTGCAGCTCAAGTGAAAGGGGAAGAAAAAAAAAATCCTGATGATTAATTAGTTGC